TCACTAAAAAGTGGCCTCAGCTGGAGAAAGTCGAGCGGGATCTGATCAGTATTTTGACCGAGAGGGCAGAGCTAATATTCAAACGAAGGTATGAAGATTTGTCGGATGATTTGGTATTGTTTAAGGATGGGGAGATCGGCATCCTTCGCCCATCATCCTCAAAACCATCATCGTCAAGGCCTGACGAATCCGAACTTGGAAAGGGGGAGCAAGAAAGTGAGGTTGATGAGCTAGGTCGCAGTCGGCCTGAACTCGATCTCTCACCCCATGCCCCATCGCGTACATCCAGGCGGAACGACCGAGCCCACAGACGAAAACGAAAAATGGCGGCAGCATTGGCGGAAAACAAGACGGTCGGGGAAGATGATGAGGGCTTTTCGACCGATGACTCGCTCTCACCCGCCGATTCTTCAGATCTCCAATCTGCCTCGCGATGCCTTCATGATTCCGCTAAGGAAATCTTGATCGATATTGCGAATCCGGTCTTTCTGTCCCCAACCCATAAGGATTCAATTTCCGATAGATTCTTGAGTTGGAGATTCAAATACCCTGATGATTATGGGAATGCGTTTGGAAACTTGGCCCTGGTACAAGCCTGGGAGTTTTGGGTTCGCGTGGAGATGGTGACCGGGCTGAACATTTGGGGACTGCGCGAGTGGGTGAAGAGTGAAGACAAGAGAGGGATTGAGAACTGGGAATGGATGAGAGGACTGGAACAGTACGAACATGCGGTCCAATCGGGACCCCAGCACGACTCGGTCGACAATCAAGAATCGGTAGTCGCAGCGATGATCTCGACAGTCGTCATCCCATTGTTTTTGCCCCTTATCAGATGTTCCTACGACCCATTCTCCACCCGAGCGACGACGAAAAGCTTACAGCTCGCCGAGCAGGTGAGCTATGTCTTGGAAACTGAAGGCAACCCGACGTACGACAAGTTCATCAAGTGCTTCCTAGACCGGTTTCGGAGCTCGGTGGATGAGCTGAAACGTCTTGTTGGTAGCTCGCGCGAGTTGGGCGAGAAGCTGCGCAGTCAGGTTGGTGTTGAAGGCATCCAAGCTCGCAAACGATTCCTGAACAAGTCCCTCAAGCTCTTCAAGCAAGGCCTCCGATGGAAGAAGTTCTTTGGCAAAAACTATTGGCTCCATCTCGATCAGCTGGATGATTTGAGTGACCGTGGACAAACCGATAATGGCACTAGTCTTCCTTTGGACTTCAAGTACCTGTTAGTCCACAATCTTTTGGTCCAGATCATCTGCCCAATCCTGATCATCAGCTGGGAAACGGGCGGCCAACAAATTTCAGAAAAGGTCTGTCCTCTGCTTTCCAACATGATGTCTCAACCTACTCTAATTTTGGTTCTGGTTTGCAATATTAGATCCTTGCTAGTTGTCCCGAAAACTTCCTTCCAGATGATGTGCTTGTCATGCTCCAAACCGGCGATTTTTCAACCACATAGATAGCTATGGACCAGAGAAATGTGCACAACATGCATGCATCATCTTGGCTTTGGATCCCGCTCCTTGTCCTTTGAATTTCTCTTGCCTTGTCCAGATCACTGCGAAACCTATCAACCCACCTCTCAATTGACTGCATTTTCTTCACGTCACACATCTGAAAAGCTCTCGGACCTCTGTCCTTGTATGAGTTTTTTCGGGAACCCAGGATGTGGTGAATCTTTAAAAACAAGTTGATACGGTTTTTTTGGGGGGGTTGAACACGCTGTATTTTGAACATGCCAATCTGAAACCGTTTCAGATAGGTACTGATGGATATACAAGATCAGTTGGAAATAGGTTTATGGATAATGGAGGACTTCCCTTTGGCTCTGTAGCCCCGCCCTACAGAGCTACAGAGTCAGACATTCTGGGCCTGTAGAGCTTATTTAGCTGCGGGAACTGGATTTACAGGCTCTAAGATCTGGCTCTACTGGGACTATAAATCCAATGGAAAGTCCTCCAAGATCATTCTAGGTTAGGTAATTATAAAATATGTTCTAGTTCTGGAAAAATATGTATCCATATCTTTTTTCTGGCTGATGGAATGTTGGCTTTGGGGATCTGGTACAAGCAACTAGCTTCACATTAATTGTGCTAAACTGATGTAGTAAAAATAGAGGTGTAGTTGGGTTTGCTAAATTAATGCCCCTCTGTGGACATATCCACACCCAAAATGGACATGGATGGGTACCCATCTCCTCTGAGTGGGTGTTGATGGCTGTCAACACCCTCAACAGGTTGATCCTCCACAGAGGGGTGTGAGTCACTTAGCCAGGCAAATAAAAATTAAGCAAGTCAATAAAACACAAATAGTAACAAGAGGGCATATAAAGCAACTGAAATTTAGTCTCAAGATGAGTATTAAAAGAGAGAGAGAGAGAGTTTCATAAATAAAAATACAAATATGATGTGGAGATGCCTGTGATAGATCTGGATAAAAGGGATAAGCCTAAATTTAGACTTAATGGTAGAATGCATCAAGGGTGGGGTTTAGCCAGAGGTTATAGAGTCAGATTTATTTTTCAGCCTTAGTGAGATCAAACCTGTCCAAAAGGCTTCAATTGTAAATAATATATTCCTTTTGTTTTTCTCTGAATAGAGTTTTTTTAATTAGTTGGACTCAAACATGGCAGTTTCTCTGCACAAAAAGGATGCAGATCAAGCTCCCAAAATTCAAGCAATTCATTTCATCCCTATCACATCCAACCACTTGTATGAATTCTGGCAGCTCAAGGTGCATGGTTTCTTGTGCAGAGTGACTTGAATTTGGGCAAGTTGCTTGGGCTCAACTTTGAAACCCCCTATCATCACAAGCAATTCTCATCAGTTGCATTGCTCTATATCATATGAATCTCCTTCTTTTTTCTAATCATGTACAATAGATGAGGTGGTCTTTGTATTTTGTGCCTGATATATTTTTAAGGGTGAAAATGAGTGAATCTTCAAGTTAGTCAAAAGAGAAGTGAATATTTTTCAATTTCAAGTTCAATCCACTTTGAAAACCTGCCCCAGTGAACCTTTTCAACCTCAGCCCAGAAAAAAACCAGAACCACACAGATCACCCATGAATCCAGAGGTGCCTCACTGTGAAGTAATCTTCCCACTCATTATCTCAGACGCAGAGGGAATAACACCATACCTGATATTCCCCAAGTAACTACACTCCTCATCATTCCTTCAATAAATTCTCCTTAGTTTTATTCTGATGAATAAAAATATATATATATATTAATTTTCATTTCCCAAGTACAAGTGTTCATCAGAGCAACTCTACTTAATAATGTCTTTCTTTTATTTTTAAGTTTAGCCTAGTTTTGTCTTGCGCTGGAATGATTTGACATGTTTTGACCTATTCTTTTATATTTTTATATTTTTTTATTTCCTTATTCTAATTATTATATTTTATCTGTAAATAAAACATTAGAATAGGGGGTATCAAATATGACCAAATCTACCATTACGTAGTTGACAGGTTTTCAAAAACCCACCCTTTCTAAAATTTGACTTTTTCGTTACCAATAACCTCTTAGGAATTATTAATAGGGGGTGTCAGATATGACCAAATCCACCATTCAAACCAGTCAATTAGAATTTTCATTAAAATTCCACTTTTGGGGATTTTGATCTTCTTTACATGCATTTCCATGGTTTTTAAAATGGTGGATTTTT